CCCCCCCCCCCTTGTTATTTTATACCACACAATCCGGTTTCATCTAAGGTAGAGAGAGAGAGGTAGATGCTGCGGGCGTGTGCCGTGATCACAGATTGGGGGAAAGGCCACCAACGTAGTGAATCAGCGTGAATATAGTGGACTCGGATTCAACGAACAAGGGGCCGCGGTTGATCGGCTACCACATCCAAAGACGTGGCTGTATTTTAACTGATAATCACGCTCTTTTTTAAACGCCTCAAGAATCTCAAAACGGCATGGTGACTTAGCATATGTTACTCGTTACTGGCAAGCCATTGCCTTATTCCCTCTTTCTATTTGCGCGATAAGGCGAATAAACCAAACTAAAAGTCATTTGCTTTTCTAGAAAAACCCTGATCTCTTTTACAGGTAACATTCAAATGTGAGAAATCTAGCTGCCTGACCGAGATTGAAAAGGGTGAACGATGCTGAGGACATCGCCAGTACTCCCTTTCCTGGGAAGCCCGATAGCTGATTGTCCTGAAGCGCCGACTTTCCTTCAACGGAGGAATATCATGTAAAAATGAAAAGGGAACGTATCTCAGTCTCAGGATTATCTCCACACTGAATTCTCAAACGATCCTCTTCTGATAACGCTTCTCGTTTACAGAACAACTCTACAGGTAGTGAAACAGAACATAGTTGGAATCGTGTATGAATTCATTTATAATGCAACAGTCGTCGTTATTTATGGGAAAGGCGGAGTATACGGGGATTCATTTATCAAACGATTGGTTAATTGTATTGATGTAAACCGTCTTGTTTGTTTGGCACTCCCGACCGATCATCCGAGTTCCGGTATCCTTTGTCTGATTGGTGGTCCCGGAACAAAGCAACTTTCAGGGAACATACTGGCACCAGTAACAGAATGAACTTCATATTGTGCATTGTCATCTTGGGCCATGACAGCTCGACTATGCAAATCCAAAAGGCCCCACGTGCGATTTGCATTCCATTAACCCGGAGAATCACTGGATGGCACGCGTAAGATCCTCTAACCGTACAGACTGGTGTGTGTGTGTGTCAGTTTGAACTACTAAAATCACTTTTCCACGATCTCACTCTGTATTTCAACGACGAACAAAATCCAGAAATTTATTGCGTTTTTCCGAATTAGTCACAGTATCAATGAGGCTAGTATTGACAATGACCGTCTAATTATATCACCTCCGTTTGAACGGACTGCATACACCGTCTTCAGTTTAAACTTTCTATTCAGAAACCTCCGCGAATTTCACCTTTTTTGCTAAAACTACCGCCAGCTGTTTTTGATAATATCTGTGCGATTTAGATGATCTAATGATGTCAGTTTTTTCCAGTTGCCCAAGGTATCACAATGACTCAGGTGAATGATGGAAGACATTTTCATAATCCGTTCCCCGATTGGGATTCGGGAAATGCGCAAGCGTTTGAGGTAGGTCACAAGTACCCCTACCCCTTATCTCGATTCTGCTCGTTTTCCTCGAACAGTTGAACTCACAGTGGAAGGATTCAATGGTATCTCGTATGAGGACTATTATTGAGGAATTATACACTCAATCCGCTCAACTATCCTCCTCCGACATTTCTATGTACACGGGATTGGCGGGTACGTCTTGTGACCCTGCTTATGTACGTATGTATGTATGCATATGCCTTGGTGTATACCCGTAAACTTTCAAACGTATTTCTGTTGTCTATTTGTCAGGAATCGGCTATTTCTTTCGTCACTTGTCTCTGTCCGATAGCACATCATTTGCCCCTGACGATCGTCAACGGGCCCTGGAGTTCACACAGAAAATCGTCCGTCGATGTCTGAAACACTTGGACACCGGTCGACTGTACAAGAATATAAGTGTGTTTACCAGTCCTATTGGGGCTTTGTGTTTGGCTGTACTGGCTCATCGGACAGTATCGGGACCTGTGCCCACTGGAGGAGCATCAGGCAACGATTCATCGACAGACGAATGTCTGAAACAAATTCTGCGAGCTCATGAATTCTCTACCGCGATCGATTCCGGAATGCCGGACGAAGCTCTTTACGGTCGAACGGGGTATCTAAATGCGTTAGTTGATCTACACTCAGCCGGAGTGTCCATTCCTGCGGACATTGTATCGTCAGTAAGTTGTACATTTACCGTGCCTGGTTCTGGGCAGTACTGGATTGGAATTAGTTCGCCATTGTTTTACGGACTCCCGTTTTCCGATCAGAATAAACCCACCACCACCGCCAGAAATACACTTACAACTGCTTTTTGGTATAATTTTGGTCTGATTACAAACCTAACTTATCGGGGCCTTATGTGGTTCGCCACTCCAAGTCCTGCGGCTTAGGTTACCGGTTTCCGTCACTAGATAGCAGGTCCTTGTAACTATGGGGCTTTCCCCGTCTGCTGTTCATCACACGAAAGTGTGTCATTAAAAAATAAAAAATCGGCAAACAAATACACTAAGCCAGGATATTAAGAAGTGAGGAACTGGACGGTATTGTGCAGCTGATTCATTTTATTGTGTATGATCGTCAGCATATATATAAATATATTAGATTTTTAATTTATTGTTTTTTATGATGATGCTAGTCTTAGCGTCGTACCGTTCAAATTAGATAGCTTTTTTCTGTTACTGAAAAACGAACGTAATGTATTCTTTGCTTTGCCTCCCAAGGCCTCAGTATGGTTGGGGGTAGCTGTCTAGGGTTGCGGCTGGTCACCCTGCCCTTGGACCTCACGAAATGCCCCCATACGACCAAGCGTCTCAAATAGCCTCTGCGGAGGAAACCCTACTCACTGCTTTCTCGCGGCGGAGGTGTTTTCCAACCAAAGTGAGAGGACAAAAAGCCGATATCCGGGGCTATAGCCGGGTTGGTGGACCACTGCCAGTTCACCTAGGGGAGTTGGCCAAAAACCTGATTCCAAACCAACCATGAAGAGACGTACGAACCACACCCACACCTTTTCGGTTGTGGCAATGGTCACCGGCTCGATTGGGCATTGAGGTGCATTGGGCACCTTGGACGTCTGACCCCGTCCAAAGAGCGTATGATCCGATGAACTGGATACCGGATCCCAATGGACTGCGGTTTTCGCACACCGCCCCGCTGCCTTGCGCGTCAGGCTTTGGCTAGCCGCAGGCTCCGGTTGTGGATTCCTCAAGAAAATTC